AGCATTTAGTCTTCTGTAGTCCCCATAGTGGAGGGAAAGCTATGGGAAAAGAGATCGAGGGGAAGGAGACGATGGGGATCCTCAGACAATGGACTGGACGACCGACGAAGTATTGTCAAGCCCATGGAAACAGACAGTCTCTCAGAATGACGTCTTGGTAGACTTTTTTAAAGTTGATTTTGACATTTCTATCAATGAAAACCAGTGGGGTCTTGACTTCAGATGTGACTCAGGCCCAGACCATGACAGATTTCGGAAACTTGAGCCTCATGTGCACCCGACCTTTCCTGGAGGCAGAAGTTGACGGTGGTTTTGGGAGTTGTGGGCGACTTCAACTGGATCATTGAGAGCAATTTCTTTGCCTTGTCCAAGCTATTCATTGTAGCTTCAGAAAGGGTTTGCCCACGGTAAAGATGATAGCTGCGAAGTCCCAGGTCACGTTTCACGATATTCTGCACTCTTTCCCTAGAGATTCTGAGGTCAGAGCAATGTGATTCATGCTGACGCCGTCTTTTTGGGCAATCCTCTTCTTTATCATCTTCCGTGTTGCAGAAGTGTTGACCATCCATGGACAGCCCGATTTTGGAAGCACTTCATAATGTCCTTTCTTCCGGTATTGCTTTACAATCCTTTTAACAATTCTGGCGTTGATCTTGAGCCGGTGAGTGATGTCTGAAGGGCAAACACCTTCGTCGATCAGGTGCGCAATTGTAGCGCGATGAGTTGAAGTATGCATAAATAAAAATAAAAGATGGTGGAATCTCTTTACCTTCTAGGGACACAGTTTATTAACATTAGCCTTTCAAAACACCATGAATTCACATTAGCCTTTCAAATGAATTCACTCGTCCACCATACTTTTCAGCCAACCTGTACATTATCTGAAGGTGGTCTACAAAGGTTAGGGAATTTGGTTAAAATAGCGCTGAATTTGGATGATGAATTCAGGGTGCTAATATTTCCCATGTCTGAGAGATTGACTGAATAACGCCTCTTATAGAAAGATTAGTTATTCCATCAATTAGGTGTTTATTTTTTATATCAATTATCAATCAAAAGTTGTTCAAAAAGTCTGCTCCTATTATAGCTCTGTTGGTATTGGCGATTACAAAAGACCATTGGAATTGACGTCGAAGTCCAATGTCCAAATTGCTAACTTTTGTTCCATAGGTAACAATTTCTGTACCATTGGCTGCATATAGTTTATAATCAGAGCTAGGCATCCTATTTTTATCCTTTGGAGGTATTATAGAGATATCAGCACCACTGTCCACCAAAAAGTGTAATCCTGTGTTTTTGTTCGTAACAAATAATCGGAGATTGCGACAATCCTGAATGCCGGCGGAAGAGTTTGTCGCTACTCTTTCCAACTGCACGGAGGCCTGCATTTATTTTGCATGCAATTAGGGCCAAAGTGAAAATGGTAATAGCAATATTTCCCTCTTGGATCGAAGGATCTTTGAGACAGACATCTCGGCCTTGACTGAGTCCTAGTTTTGGATCGAGATCTAGATCTATCCAGTCTCAATTCGGACACCTGCCGTTCAAGATCTTCCAATTTGGCGATCAAGCGATCTGTTGATGAAGAAGGCACTTCCGCATCATATATTTCTTTGGAAGAGTTTATCTCATTGATTTTATCGGCCATTATGGCCAATTTGCTAATGTCCTCATCGCTTACAATAAGTATATTCTTTATGGATGTTGGTAATTTATCGAGCCATAAAGTTTTAATCAATTTGTCAGAGATATCTGGGGTAGCGAGGGATCTGAGCTTTTGTAGTAACTGGCTCGGCTTCATGTCTTTGAGCGCAATACCTGAAATTAATTTTATTTCTGATATCTTCACTTTCTCTGAACAATTCAAGTAGTCGTGATTTACATTCAGAATACTTGTTGTCAATTTTGCTATTATGTCCTAAAAATTCTCTACATATTTTGGTTCTAATTGGGAGATTAAATTTTGTTTTTCTTCCTGAAGGATTCCACTTATTTTAAACTGTGCCTCTACCTGGAAAAACCATTTTTCAGGTATTCCAACCCAAAAAGGCGGTTTTTTGATACTAACTTTGCATATTTTCTGAAATTGATAGGCTTCTTTTCTGTTTCCAAACTTAAGTAAATTTAAAAATTAACACAACAGCTAGGTGTAAGTAGAGATAAAGTTAAAAATATAAAAATAATACAAAAGCAATTACAGGGTATCCCTCGAGAATGTTGCGGTGATACACTTCTTAGTTGATTTTGACCCCCACATCAATGAAAATGAAGGGGATCTGCCATTGGTGCTAATACTATCCCATACCATAACCTAATGTTAATTTTGGCAGTGTTCGATGATACCCAATGTACCAGGAACCTCAGCGAACCAGCTCCTGTCATTTTGATGGTTGTGCGCCTGCTCGTGGTTGATCCGTTTCTAATTCATTAAGAGAATGTGGTCCCATCACTGACCAGTGGCCGGATGCTTGAGTTTGCAACATCTCTCCAGCTATTTGGGCTTATTGTCATCCGTGAAGAACTGAACCTTTTGGATCTTGGGAGGCTTGAGGTTGAGTTTTTTTTTCGCTATTCGAAGTAACAACAGGCAATTTTTCTCTTGAACACCCTCGAATTACATTGGAGTCGCTTTTTGATCTTACAGTTGATGGAAATGTTTGCAATGCGCTTTCTTCCTCTTCCGAAATGGTCTCTTTCATGGAAAAATGTGAGAGGAGAGCTATTTCTATACGAGAGGAGGTGGTTCTATGTTACCTTAATTTAGGAGATTAGGGTGTCAGCTTTGACAGTGTTGGTGAGAGGAGGTGGTTCTATGTTACCTTAATTTAGGAGATTAGGGTGTCAGCTTTGACAGTGTTGGTGAGAGGAGGTGGTTCTATGTTACCTTAATTTAGAAGATTTAGTGTTGCTTCAATCTGGGTGAGAAAAGTTGTGAGTTCTTCAAAGGTTAACAGTGATGATCTAATAACTTGCTTGAGTATCATTTTTACAGATTTTATGTTTGATTCCCAGATTCCCCCAAAATGGGGTGCATGGGGAGGCATAAAATGCCAATTAATCTCTGAATATGTTATGTAATCTTGTATTTCAGAAGCATGTAGCAATGCATATTGTTCATTGAGAAATTTAGCTGCACCTTTAAAATTGATTCCATTGTCAGAATATATATCTGAGGGAGTACCTCGTCTTGATGTGAATCTTCTTAATGCTGCGATAAATGAACTGGTTGAAAGATCTGACACTAATTCAAGATGAAACGCTTTAGTTGCTTGAGGAAATTGTTCTTGTTCATCATGAGCCAATGTTTTCAAGGTCTTTATAGCTAGGTATGGTGCACTGGTTGTGCCGTAAGTCACTGTTGCTAATTGGTATTCTTTGATTGGTTCGTTAGGAGATGCTCGCCATAAAATTCTTTGAAAACAACAATCAGCTGGGCTTAACCTTATTTGCCGGTACATTTTTTTCTATGTCAGCAGTAAGTGCTATTGAATAGGTTCTAAACTTTATCAATATGTTAAAGATATCTTCTTGTAGTTTAGGACCACAATAAAGTAAGTCATTTAATGATAACCCAGTGCTTGTCTTTGCCGATGCATCGAACACCACCCTGAGTTTTGTTGTTGTACTTTGATCTCTTAATACTGCATGATACGGCATATAATAAACTTGATGAGATGGTTGCTCTGGTTCAATTTCATTGATAACTTCCATATGGCCAAGATTTATATATTCCTGCATGAATTCTCTCACATGTTGTGAATATACTGGGTTTTGATGGAAGCGTCTTTCCAAAGAAAGGAATCTTCTTAAGGCTTGAGATTTTGAATCTCCTAATTGATAATTCATTTTATTATTGTTAAGCCTAAATGTTAATGAAACTACATATCTCCCTTTTTCATATCTGATTGTTGTAGTTCTAAATATATTCTCACATTCTAATTCTTCTGTGTTCATTTCTTCCTTGTGCATAGGAATGCTTTCCGCATCCCAAAATTTTTTAACAATATCATCTAGTTCAGCTGAAAAATGATTAACATGTATTTGTTGAATTAATGATTTTTGAGCACCAGAATCAATCACGGCTCGGCACATTAGCTCATCATTATTTGAGTTAAAAACTTTTATTAAGGCTGTAGAGAGAAAAATATTTGTTTCTAAGATTGAAGTATTGTTAGATAGAACTGTGTGGTTTACTGTCTGATGCTGGTTTTGTTCTTCACTTGTATTAGCTTGGTGTTCGGTAGTTGAAATAGGACCTTGCCGTCTTTGATAATTATAATTATGAAGGGTAGTATGATGTTTTAGGTTACAGACTTTACAAGTGGCACTTATTTTACAATGATTGGCATAATGATATACACCTAAGCAGTTTATACAAAGGTTTTTGCTTCTTACAAATTTGATCCTATCATCTAAAGATAACTTAGCAAATTCTTGGCAGGTACCTAACTTATGAGATGAATTGCAATATGTGCATTTGATTATGTTAGTATTTACTTGAGAAGTTTTAAAGGTCTTCATAACATTATCTTCTTTTTGATATATTTTTCCATTAATGTGATCCAATCCCTTTCTATGCTTTTCTAAAAATGTTAATAAGTCTTGAAGAGTAGGGAATGTATTTTCCTTTAATGAAAGTTCAAAGTCCTTGTTCATGGTGCAATCAATTTTCTTTAAAATAAAAGTAGTGAGAAGCATGTTTCCTAATTGTTCTTCATTAATTCCTAACAATTCTAAATTTCTTAAGTTCAACTTAACAGTATCAATTAGTTCAATAATATTCCTTGAGTTGGTTACTTTTATATACTTGACATTCAGTATATTGTTACAGTATTTATAGGCTAGGTCTCTTGTACAGTGATATCTTTCATTGAGAGCAAGCCAAGCTTTATCAAAAGTGTCAGGTGTTAAAGAAAAACCCTTAATTATGTTAGCTGCATCTCCAGAAAGAGAACTTTGTAGATATTTAAACTTTTGAATATTATTTAATGATGAATTGTTAATAATGGTATCTTCAAATATGGTCTTAAAATCCAACGATTGATCAAGATCACCTTTAAAAGAGGGTAGAGAAAACTTTGGGGGATTAATTTTAGTTTCTTCTATCTTAGTATTTATATTTTCTTTTAATTCTAAATAATTTAATAAAGTAGATTGTATTTCAGTTATATCTTTATTAGCTTCTTTATAAATAGATATATGTGATTCATGTTCATCAGATTCAACTAATTCAATCATATAATGTTCAATATTTTCTTTAATTTTGTTTATATTATCCGGTTGTACCTTTAAATAACCTTTACTTTGAGTTTCTACATTTTCTAATTCGATCTTTAGGTCATCAAACTTCGATATTTTGGTGAGAGGAGGTGGTTCTATGTTACCTTAATTTAGGAGATTAGGGTGTTAGCTTTGACAGTGTTGGTGAGAGGAGATGGTTCTATGTTACCTTAATTTAGGAGATTAGGGTGTCAGCTTTGACAGTGTTGGTGAGAGGAGGTGGTTCTATGTTACCTTAATTTAGGAGATTAGGGTGTCAGCTTTGACAGTGTTGGTGAGAGGAGGTGGTTTTATGTTACCTTAATTTAGGAGATTAGGGTGTAAGCTTTGACAGTGTTGGTGAGAGGAGGTGGTTCTATGTTACCTTAATTTAGGAGATTAGGGTGTTAGCTTTGACAGTGTTGGTGAGAGGAGGTGGTTCTATGTTACCTTAATTTAGGACATTAGGGTGTCAGCTTTGACAGTGTTGGTGAGAGGAGGTGGTTCTATGTTACCTTAATTTAGGAGATTAGGGTGTTAGCTTTGACAGTGTTGGTGAGAGGAGGTGGTTCTATGTTACCTTAATTTAGGAGATTAGGGTGTCAGCTTTGACAGTGTTGGTGAGAGGAGGTAGTTCTATGTTACCTTAATTTAGGACATTAGGGTGTCAGCTTTGACAGTGTTGGTGAGAGGAGGTGGTTCTATGTTACCTTAATTTAGGAGATTAGGGTGTCAGCTTTGACAGTGTTGGTGAAAGGAGGTGGTTCTATGTTACCTTAATTTATGAGATTAGGGTGTCAGCTTTGACAGTGTTGGTGAGAGAAGGTGGTTCTATGTTACCTTAATTTAGGAGATTAGGGTGTCAGCTTTGACAGTGTTGGTGAGAGGAGAGGTGGTTCTATGTTACACATTCTCTCTGAATTTTCTCATTGTTGGTGGAAGAACAGCACCAGTGATTATTTTGGCCGCTTTTACTTGAACACTGTCTTGTCTTCCTTTTAGTGATGAGCTTGAGGGAGCCCAGACAGGTGTTGCATATTCCATTATTGGCCTTATTAAGGTGGTTTATGTTGTTCTGAGGGTTTTGGGTTTTGCTCCCCAATTTGTTCCACATAACCTTCTCAGAATATTTAGTTTTCTGGTAGCTCTATTTGAGGTGCTAATTATGTGTTCTGTAAATCGCAATTCCTCTTCAAGTATCACACCTAGGTATTTTGGATTTCTAATTTTATCAATTATTTGGTTATTTATGCATATTTTGGGATTAAATTTATGCCTGTGTTTCCTGTCAGTGGAGAAGACGCATAGGTTTGTTTTTATTGGGTTTATGGTCATTTTGAGTTCCATTGCCCACTTCTCCAGTCCTCTCATTGAGGTGTTCAGTATTTTTTCTGATTTTTCTATACTGCTACTTGTGTGCCATATGGCTATATCATCTGCATAACAGGCAACCTTTGTGTCTTCAGTGAGGTAAGGATGGATGTCGTTAATATATAGCAGGAAGAGTAGGGGACTGAGCACAGATCCCTGAGGTACACCAGCCCATGTTATTCTGTTCTTGGAAAATGCTCCATTAACCCGAACCTTTATCCTTCTTCCCCTTAAGAAGTCTGCAATCCAGATTAAGGTTTTTCCTCTTACTTCAATGTTGGGCAGCCTTTAAAGTAATTTCTCCCTCCATACTCGATCAAAAGCTGAGGTCATATCCAGGAATACGGCCGTTGTCTTCTTTGTTTGTTTTTCCTGGAAAGAATCTATTATTGATTGGCAGAAGTAGAACAGTTGATCAGTTGTACAGTGTCTGGATCCATAGGCAGTTTGGTAGAAGTTTATTTTATTATTGTTGGTGAGCCAGACTATGAGCCTAGAGTGGATAATTCGTTCTGTTATTTTACGTAGTATGCTGGTGAGAGCAATTGGCCGATAGTTCTTGCAAAGTTAGATGTATATTACATATTTATAAAAACAACAATGTTGGTCAATGGTCAAATATATTTAAACATATTATATTACACTATGTTACCTTAATTTAGGAGATTAGGGTTGTTACGACTACTAGAGTAGTCAACATTATTTTATGCAAATATAGTTGTAATTTAAAAGCTGAGAAAAAAGTATGTAAATTTCTTTGTTGTATAAATTATTATGTAAATTTTCTTAATGTATAAATTGACCGTGCTTTTTAATAAAAATGGGTTCTGGATAAGATTTTGAACGTTTGGTAGTCGTTCTTAAAGCCTCTTCCTTTGGTGTTGCGGAGCTGGTCGGGTAGCTGGACTAAAACACTAGGTCGTCTCTCGGGGTAAAGAGAGACACCAATCTATATTGAGAAGAAGACCTCAATAAGGGTGTCAGCTTTGACAGTGTTAGTGAGAGGAGGTGGTTCTATGTTACCTTAATTTAGGAGATTAGGGTGTCAGCTTTGACAGTGTTGGTGAGAGAAGGTGGTTCTATGTTACCTTAATTTAGGAGATTAGGGTGTCAGCTTTGACAGTGTTGGTGAGAGGAGTTGGTTCTATGTTACCTTAATTTAGGAGATTAGGGTGTCAGCTTTGACAGTGTTAAAGGTAGAATATAGGCCGACAGAGCGAGGGGAAACTTGCTTTGGGCCTTTCTACCTTAATTATTTAGATACTACTGGGTTCGTAAAGTCTCGTTGTCAGGTTAGTAATTGGTAAAGATTTCAGGGGATAAGCGGTTCAAATATCTTTGATCATCTTGATTGGTCTTGATCATTTACGGGCGGTGAGATAAATTGTTCGTTTTCCGTAGTGTTTTAATTTGTTGACATGAATTGTATCTGTCTCACGACTTAGAGGTCGGTTGGAGCGGTTGATCCGTACAATTTACAGCAGCATCGAAGTCTTCCCAAATTGATGAAGCTGATACTGGTCGAACTTCAGGTGCCACAGGGCCGACTGTGGTTGCGGGAATAGAGGACTGTATCTTTTCTATAATTTTATTTTTTACTTCAAAGAAACGACTGGTGTTCTCTCCAAAGCCGTGCTTTTTGAAGCGTGGATCCAAGAAGATAGCCTGATTGATTAACTCAACATTTAACCTATCCCCAAATCTATTCGATAAGGCTTCTAATAGATTTTTTCCTAATCGTAGGACTTCTTCGGAGAGGTTGTTTCCTCGGGTAGGTACATTTTCAATAGTCCGCCTCACAGACCTTGCCAGTCCCTGGGCCAGAATACATGTTTTTGACAAGGAAATTTTCTGTTCTGAGGAAACTTCCTCAGTGACTTCAAAAAAAAATTTTAATATGGAAATAGATTCCTCTATCACTTTCCAGTCACTATCCCCCAGCAAAATTTTAGGATTGAGCAAAGCCAAGACGGATATCACTGGCTCTCGATTTTTCATGATGCGGTCTAACATCTCATACGTTGAATTCCAACGTGTTGGAACGTCTTGTTTTAACTTCAATGGTTTTGTGGAGAGATTAGCTTGCATTTCTCTTAATTTGGCCATTGCGTGGGAACTCTGTTTAAAAAATTGGACGATATATTTTACCTTATCTACCGCGGATTTTATACTCTCATTAATGGACCTCTGAACCACCAAGTTAAGACTGTGGGCAAAACAAGATAGGTGAGGTAGCCCCAAGGTTTTTATTGCAGCTTTGTCAGTCACCACAGCGACCGTTTTAAAATCAAGTTTGAATTTTTTGGTTACACCAAGAATCCACGATGATATATTTTCTGCAGTATGTTTTTGAGGAAACTCTGAACATTCGAGAAGAATGGAATTTAATTTTGTTGTGTAGTCTATGAAGTGTGCAGTAATGGCATAAAAACTGGTGGTATTTATGTTAGTCCAGCCATCACATGTCAGGCATACAGCATATGCTTCTTCTAACATTCCTGTTTTTATTTATTTATGCTTATGAGGTGATACAGCAGCGTATTTACAATTAGAGAGGAGACAAAATGAATTAAATCTAGAAAAAAGAAGTGAGGACATATCGGTCATTAAAGTCTGAGAGGCAAGTCCTTCAGCCAGTTCAGGGCTTCCGGGGTGACAGAATGGAGATTGGAGATTCCTCCATTGAATTTGTACAGCGGGCAGTCATCTAGTATATGGGACATTGATTGTGGGACGTTGCAGGCACAATTTGGATCTTTGGTGTAGCCCCATAACTTCATCAGCTCTGCACACCTTCCCTGACCTGTCCTAAAGCGGTTTAGAAGCACCCATTCTCGTCGAGGGAGGGAAAACCTGGGATCTTGACATTTGGGCTTGTGATGAGGTTCTTGTTTGGGATATCGGTGCTGATCCAGGAATTTGTCCATGCTTCTGAGATATTAAAATTTTGGGAGAGAAGTTGGTTTACTCTGGACCATAACGGCTTCCTAGATTTTAGTCTATGATTTGGGGGAGACTGTAGGATAGGGTTAATTTCGAGGTCGGGTGAATCAAGAGTTTTTGGTACATTTTCTTGGTGGCTTCCTTTCTGCGTAGCTCAGGTGGAGAGATGTGAGCAAGAACTGGAAGCCAGTCAATTCTTGTAGGTTGGCAAACCCCTGTTATAATTCTCTCGTAAGGTAGAATTTAGTTGTGTGTCTATTAGCTTCGTGTGGCAGCTCCCCTCCCAGACTGGAGCACAATATTATTGGGCCAAGATGATGCAGTGTTGACACTCTGACCTCGCAAGATTTGAAGTGTAGCTGGAGGTATGTTAAACAAGAGGCTGCATTTTCAGGGTTGTTGACCTCTAAGATGTAAGTAACAGATAGAGGAGAGGTTCTTTTGAGCCATATTGTTCGGAGAGAGCAGTCAATTATAGCGAGCGCACCTTCTTCCTGCCCCTCCCACCCTTGCGTTATCGTGTTGATAATCCACCATGAAACTGGGGGTGCTACACTTGTTTGGACTCCCATCCAGAATACTTCATCGTAGATACTGCCAGTGCAGGACTTGCTTATCTTAGAGTCAATTATAATGTCCTCAGAATTAACCTGAGCCGCTAGGAACCCGTGATGCTCAGACTCGGAAGCATGCCATATTGTCCCTAACTTCGGCATCATCTTCCTGAGCTTCCATATGGCATTAGTGTCCTGCCCGGCAATAAAAAGAGTCTTGACCTTCTTCAGATTAATGTTTGACCGAAGAATGTCTATCAGTAAGAATAGGAGAGGACTTGATTTCGGGAGTAGAGCTATAAGGTCCTTACAGACCCCTCTTGAGCCGGCATCTATAGGTTCTCTAACCCCCTCACATATGACTCTGGACTCCAGATTATGGAGCTTAAGCCTCTTGTTTGACTGTCCACTTTCCCTGAATATAGATGAGGTTGTTAGGTAGCGCTTCCCGGGTGTTCGGGTCTCCAGTCCAGGTCTTCTGTGTGCCCTTACCATGTCAATTATTGTTGATAGGCTACTCAGTCTGATCTTGATCATGCTGTTAATCTTTGAGACTATGCTATTCAAAATTGTGTCAGCCTGTGCTTCATTCATATCGTTCAATTCCCTCTGCACTTCTTCCTCCTCATGATACGACGATATATTTTGGATTCTGTCCGACATTTCCTTAAAGCTCTCATGTGATGACTCAGGTATCTTCAATGTGTTGCATGTCTTCATAGCCAGCTTGATTGGTTCATCATTCTTAAAATCATCCTTGGTGTAAACAGCAACAGATCTAACTAAGCTGTGAAAGACATGGAGGCAGGATAGCTCAAGACTTAGAGGTATGTCCTTGTTCCTAACCTGTGTTCCTGCCCAAAACTTGATAGCCCTGACAAGGTACCTTGCGATGACAGGGGACACCTCCATGACACTCTCCTTAGATACCCATATCTTCCACTCAGGCAGGGGTTTATTTGGGACATTGATCAAGCAATGCCGAGCAAGTTTTCTGGCAAAGGCATCAATGATGGTGGACTGGGCTGATATTGACTGGATGTCTGAAGTCATGCCTATACAGGAAGCAAAGGCTGGCCACGCCCCTGTCCTGTAGATCTTTGTGACTATGGAGTACCAGGGTTGTGTAGACATCCTAGCAGACTCTACACATGTCATCAGGTGAGCAGGGTTGTCTGATTTGAAGATTGTGACAATTTGCCCTGTAACAATCCACATGACTAGGTCCCCTGCAATTCTCCAGTCCAGGGATCTTATTTCTGTGTCTCCAATCGATCTTCCTGTCTTAAGAGTCATTAACCTATGGGCAATCAGGTGTCCTCCCTCAGTGTTAGGCCTGACACCGAGGCTTGCAACACTCGCCATCTCCGACTGTGCTTCCTGGAAGAGCCAGTAGAAGGCAAGACTGAGTCCTGCACTAGGCACGTCATCGGGGTGTTCTACATCTCCTACCACTGTTGACTCTCTGTAATGGCTGAGCACATCTAAGATTATAGCTTCAGTGTTCCACCTAAGTGAGTTGCTGATGATTGAAGGTAGTCTGTAGAATGGTAACATTCCCGGTGATACTGTTATGAGGGGCTCTTCAATAGGTTTCCAGCATTCCTTACAATCAGCTGTTACAGTCCATACAGTGGCAGGGCAAGTGGTGTCAACCCCCCAGTTTAGGTCGAAGACCGCTAGGTAACAACTGTGCCAGAGCATTGCTAAGTAGTTCACAGTAAATTCCTCCGATGACATTTGGAGCCCCAAGTGGGTGTCAGTTGTACCTGAGAACCACGTTATCTGGCTTGCAAAGTTCGGCATGATAGACTCTCTGAACCCGTGTGCCCTCATTCTGTGGGTGATTGTCCCGCTCTTCCTTCTTGGGCCCATGTCAACTAAGTTGTCAAGGGGGACATTGGTATAAGCCTACAGGATCTTCCGAATCAAGAGGTCAATATTTGAGCTCGTAGGCCCAGTTGTAACACCCGGCCTATGCATCCACGTCCAAGAGGCTATTTCTATCAACCCAATGACATTTGTCACAATTGGGTCTTTTGTTGCTGGTCGTACGGTAGGAGGTAATACGCCTGAACTTGTAGTGTGCCCAAAGAAGGCAGGATTCTCCCCAGATGCAAAATGTGTGGACCGGGTCCACGGGCATAGGTTAAGGGAGTGGCCCTGCTTAAGAGTGAAATGGTGGTCCCTCTCATACTCAGTTGTCCTCCCTATGCTTGGGTTCATTATGTAAATAGAATGAGTTAGAGAAGGGTGAGTTATCTCTAGAATGGGCCGACCCCATAGCTTGTCTCTTGAGTATTGGGCCATAGCTGTAGGGCAGGTCATATCTAAGACCCGGAGCAGTTCGTGATTATATGACTTGTGCCCTCGCATAACCATGAGTTTCCATACCTGGCCATTCTTCTCCAGTTGGGCCATCCTTCTGATAAGCCTATTTGATCTTTGATGCCGGAACCTTCCTTTCCCATAAACTACAACGTCCAAGACACTACGGGCAGTAAAGAATTGGACCAAACATTTATCTATAAGGCTATGCGGGGAAGAGTCATAGATGGCTGAGAACACCTTTCCGTGCCAGCTCTTAGCTGAGAGAAGGACATTGACAAGGGACTGCACACTGTTGTTGTTGGAGAGCTCTAGGAGAGCCTTGACCTGATTGTTCTTAGTGAGCCGATGTAGGTGTTTCTTTGCTAAGTTCCTTAGGAATGTCTCGGCTGTCTGTGGCTTAAATAAGGGAAGAGTGTAAGGATCAGATAGGAGACGGGACCAGGGCAAGGGATGCTCCTTCTGCACGGTCAGGAATTTGGAACATATGGTGTAGATGTCGGGATACTCTTCTTTTAGGAACAAGAGTAGGTCCATGAAAAGGGACAGATGATCTGATTCTTGTCGGAGCATGAAATGGCTGAGATGGGTAACTGGCAGCCCTCCAACTACCGATGTAACTAAGAGCAGTGATGTTAACTCATTAATCGAGCAGTTTTCGTATGTTGGGCAGGTTATGATGTGATAAATTGACCACCAGCATGACACTACAAATTGTGGGAGAACTACAGTACTTGAATGGCAAGCACCATGGCCGTTCGAGAAACAGCTGCTAACTAAAGACTCTAGGGTTGGAAATAGCATATTTGTTAGCCCATATGCTTTTTGGATTTTACGAAGAGCTCCTGGAAGCATGCAGTCCTCATAGTAGTAGTTCTTTGAGAATGCAAAGAACTTGCTGGACGAATAACTTTCGTTAGTGTTAATTTCATGGCCAAAGTTGGAGATGGCATCTGAGACCCTTTTCTTCAGGAACTCTACATACTCTTCAAAGGTGTCAAAGCCAACAGACTTTGGGTCATCCTTGATGTACTGGTGTAGCCCCATAACTTCATCAGCTCTGCACACCTTCCCTGACCTGTCCTAAAGCGGTTTAGAAGCACCCATTCTCGTCGAGGGAGGGAAAAACCTGGGATCTTGACATTTGGGCTTGTGATGAGGTTCTTGTTTGGGATATCGGTGCTGATCCAGGAATTTGTCCATGCTTCTGAGATATTAAAATTTTGGGAGAGAAGTTGGTTTCCTCTGGACCATAACGGGTTCCTAGATTTTAGTCTATGATTTGGGGGAGACTGTAGGATAGGGTTAATTTCGAGGTCGGGTGAATCCAAGAGTTTTTGGTACATTTTCTTGGTGGCTTCCTTTCTGTGTAGCTCAGGTGGAGAGATGTGAGCAAGAACTGGAAGCCAGTCAATTCTTGTAGGTTGGCAAACCCCTGTTATAATTCGTAAGGTAGAATTTAGTTGTGTGTCTATTAGCTTCGTGTGGCAGCTCCCCTCCCAGACTGGAGCACAATATTATTGGGCCAAGATGATGCAGTGTTGACACTCTGACCTCGCAAGATTTGAAGTGTAGCTGGAGGTATGTTAAACAAGAGGCTGCATTTTCAGGGTTGTTGACCTCTAAGATGTAAGTAACAGATAGAGGAGAGGTTCTTTTGAGCCATATTGTTCGGAGAGAGCAGTCAATTATAGCGAGCGCACCTTCTTCCTGCCCCTCCCACCCTTGCGTTATCGTGTTGATAATCCACCATGAAACTGGGGGTGCTACACTTGTTTGGACTCCCATCCAGAATACTTCATCGTAGATACTGCCAGTGCAGGACTTGCTTATCTTAGAGTCAATTATAATGTCCTCAGAATTAACCTGAGCCGCTAGGAACCCGTGATGCTCAGACTCGGAAGCATGCCATATTGTCCCTAACTTCGGCATCATCTTCCTGAGCTTCCATATGGCATTAGTGTCCTGCCCGGCAATAAAAAGAGTCTTGACTTTCTTCAGATTAATGTTTGACCGAAGAATGTCTATCAGTAAGAATAGGAGAGGACTTGATTTCGGGAGTAGAGCTATAAGGTCCTTACAGACCCCTCTTGAGCCGGCATCTATAGGTTCTCTAACCCCCTCACATATGACTCTGGACTCCAGATTATGGAGCTTAAGCCTCTTGTTTGACTGTCCACTTTCCCTGAATATAGATGAGGTTGTTAGGTAGCGCTTCCCGGGTGTTCGGGTCTCCAGTCCAGGTCTTCTGTGTGCCCTTACCATGTCAATTATTGTTGATAGGCTACTCAGTCTGATCTTGATCATGCTGTTAATCTTTGAGACTATGCTATTCAAAATTGTGTCAGCCTGTGCTTCATTCATATCGTTCAATTCCCTCTGCACTTCTTCCTCCTCATGATACGACGATATATTTTGGATTCTGTCCGACATTTCCTTAAAGCTCTCATGTGATGACTCAGGTATCTTCAATGTGTTGCATGTCTTCATAGCCAGCTTGATTGGTTCATCATTCTTAAAATCATCCTTGGTGTAAACAGCAACAGATCTAACTAAGCTGTGAAAGACATGGAGGCAGGATAGCTCAAGACTTAGAGGTATGTCCTTGTTCCTAACCTGTGTTCCTGCCCAAAACTTGATAGCCCTGACAAGGTACCTTGCGATGACAGGGGACACCTCCATGACACTCTCCTTAGATACCCATATCTTCCACTCAGGCAGGGGTTTATTTGGGACATTGATCAAGCAATGCCGAGCAAGTTTTCTGGCAAAGGCATCAATGATGGTGGACTGGGCTGATATTGACTGGATGTCTGAAGTCATGCCTATACAGGAAGCAAAGGCTGGCCACGCCCCTGTCCTGTAGATCTTTGTGACTATGGAGTACCAGGGTTGTGTAGACATCCTAGCAGACTCTACACATGTCATCAGGTGAGCAGGGTTGTCTGATTTGAAGATTGTGACAATTTGCCCTGTAACAATCCACATGACTAGGTCCTCTGCAATACTCCAGTCCAGGGATCTTATTTCTGTGTCTCCAATCGATCTTCCTGTCTTAAGAGTCATTAACCTATGGGCAATCAGGTGTCCTCCCTCAGTGTTAGGCCTGACACCGAGGCTTGCAACACTCGCCATCTCCGACTGTGCTTCCTGGAAGAGCCAGTAGAAGGCAAGACTGAGTCCTGCACTAGGCACGTCATCGGGGTGTTCTACATCTCCTACCACTGTTGACTCTCTGTAATGGCTGAGCACATCTAAGATTATAGCTTCAGTGTTCCACCTAAGTGAGTTGCTGATGATTGAAGGTAGTCTGTAGAATGGTAACATTCCCGGTGATACTGTTATGAGGGGCTCTTCAATAGGTTTCCAGCATTCCTTACAATCAGCTGTTACAGTCCATACAGTGGCAGGGCAAGTGGTGTCAACCCCCCAGTTTAGGTCGAAGACCGCTAGGTAACAACTGTGCCAGAGCATTGCTAAGTAGTTCACAGTAAATTCCTCCGATGACATTTGGAGCCCCAAGTGGGTGTCAGTTGTACCTGAGAACCACGTTGTTATCTGGCTTGCAAAGTTCGGCATGATAGACTCTCTGAACCCGTGTGCCCTCATTCTGTGGGTGATTGTCCCGCTCTTCCTTCTTGGGCCCATGTCAACTAAGTTGTCAAGGGGGAACATTGGTATAAGCCTGCAGGATCTTCCGAATCAAGAGGTCAATATTTGAGCTCGTAGGCCCAGTTGTAACACCCGGCCTATGCATCCACATCCAAGAGGCTATTTCTATCAACCCAATGACATTTGTCACAATTGGGTCTTTTGTTGCTGGTCGTACGGTAGGAGGTAATACGCCTGAACTTGTAGTGTGCCCAAAGAAGGCAGGATTCTCCCCAGATGCAAAATGTGTGGACCGGGTCCACGGGCATAGGTTAAGGGAGTGGCCCTGCTTAAGAGTGAAATGGTGGTCCCTCTCATACTCAGTTGTCCTCCCTATGCTTGGGTTCATTATGTAAATAGAATGAGTTAGAGGAGGGTGAGTTATCTCTAGAATGGGCCGACCCCATAGCTTGTCTCTTGAGTATTGGGCCATAGCTGTAGGGCAGGTCATATCTAAGACCCGGAGCAGTTCGTGATTATATGACTTGTGCCCTCGCATAACCATGAGTTTCCATACCTGGCCATTCTTCTCCAGTTGGGCCATCCTTCTGATAAGCCTATTTGATCTTTGACGCCGGAACCTTCCTTTCCCATAAACTACAACGTCCAAGACACTACGGGCAGTAAAGAATTGGACCAAACATTTATCTATAAGGCTATGCGGGGAAGAGTCATAGATGGCTGAGAACACCTTTCCGTGCCAGCTCTTAGCTGAGAGAAGGACATTGACAAGGGACTGCACACTGTTGTTGTTGGAGAGCTCTAGGAGAGCCTTGACCTGATTGTTCTTAGTGAGCCGATGTAGGTGTTTCTTTGCTAAGTTCCTTAGGAATGTCTCGGCTGTCTGTGGCTTAAATAAGGGAAGAGTGTAAGGATCAGATAGGAGACGGGACCAGGGCAAGGGATGCTCCTTCTGCACGGTCAGGAATTTGGAACATATGGTGTAGATGTCGGGATACTCTTCTTTTAGGAACAAGAGTAGGTCCATGAAAAGGGACAGATGATCTGATTCTTGTCGGAGCATGAAATGGCTGAGATGGGTAACTGGCAGCCCTCCAACTACCGATGGGACTAAGAGCAGTGATGTTAACTCATTAATCGAGCAGTTTTCGTATGTTGGGCAGGTTATGATGTGATAAATTGACCACCAGCATGACACTACAAATTGTGGGAGAACTACAGTACTTGAATGGCAAGCACCATGGCCGTTCGAGAAACAGCTGCTAACTAAAGACTCTAGGGTTGGAAATAGCATATTTGTTAGCCCATATGCTTTTTGGATTTTACGAAGAGCTCCTGGAAGCATGCAGTCCTCATAGTAGTAGTTCTTTGAGAATGCAAAGAACTTGCTGGACGAATAACTTTCGTTAGTGTTAATTTCATGGCCAAAGTTGGAGATGGCATCTGAGACCCTTTTCTTCAGGAACTCTACATACTCTTCAAAGGTGTCAAAGCCAACAGACTTTGGGTCATCCTTGATGTACTGGGGGATCCCGATGATGGCCCGTAGATCGTCACCTTTAACAAGTATTCTGACAATAACAGGAAGGCCCCTGAATGCTGCTTGGATTTGCCCATAGTAAACATTCCTGTAATTTTTACGACAAGGGAGTCGTGAATCGAAATCAGAAGTCCGTTTGATAGAGATTTCCGGCTGGGTAATTTGTATGTTGGGCATAGCATATTTACAAAGGCTTTAAATTCTTTATCTTCAACTAAACTAAAAGGATGATATTCCGAACAAATCATTTTCAATAGTTGAATATCTATTTGTCGGCTCCTATTTAGTGGTATGGGCCTTGATACATCCACAAAACTTGTCATAGAGGCTTTAGAGTTCTGCCTCTGAGGGACTGGAGTAGAAAGTGCAGAAGGTGACAGAGAAATAGTTGGAGAGCTTGACAATGATGAGGTACTGGCAAGAGAAGGCGAATCATGCACGAGTGGTTGTTTAAAAGTATTATCTACTTCCTCTTCTGAAATGGATGCGAATACCGAGCGAGATCGAGACCTGTTTTCTTGTTGGGCTTCGTGACGCTCTATAGGAACCGTAACGTGCTTCTTGGATAGGTGCCTCTTCAAGTTACTCGTTGCTCCACCTGTAATTGCTATTTCGTTCTGGCAATAACGACATTTTTCTTTGGTACCCGTTTTAGTTTTAACCTTCTCAAAATGATACCATATATCTGACCGTGAACTGGAAGGACTTGCCATTTCTGTAAACATAATAATAATGTTTTAACATATTTATTTTTTACGCTAACCGAACAAATTTAACACAATATCAAACATTCAATTTAACATAATATCAAACATTTTCAAATCTGGGGCCACGGTGATGTTGATTTGCCCAAAAAGTTAAACTAAAGTTTAAAACTCGAGTCATAATCTCGCTTGTTTGAATTGTTGAAATGCTTTACAATTAAGGAATATTACCATTAATTTTACTTATTCAAATAATTATATAATTAATAAACAAAAATATTAATCTGCAATACTTACCAGTTGGATAATGTAGCGTGATATATATGCTCGCGGGTCAGGTGTAAAATTAATATTAAAAATGTTTATTGAGTTATGTTTATACAATATCTATATATTCAATACATTATAATTCGTTTGGGTGAGATACTCATCTACCGGAATTCGACCGGATTGTGTATGCCTCCGCCAAAAAAATAGTCCCTTTGTGTACTCCAGTTATGCACGGTATTAAAATAGCCCCAATGTGTACAACGTTTTTTTACACTTCATTATATATTAATTGACAAAATGCTATCCTTTTACCTATTTTTGTTAATTTATAAGAAGGGTTTAATCATAAAAAAAAGGAAAAAACAAAAATTTCCATTCCAAAAATAGTGTTTTATTTGTGTATTGAATAAATAGGATTTTATTTCCTTGTACGCTTGTACAGCTAAATAACCAAATAAATCGATTTAAAGGAAATATGCACCGATCGATAAATTAATTAATCTAGATATTTATATAGAAATATTTACTGACTTAAATAAAAGCATTTTTTATATATGTATAGGGTTATCCACCGACCGTTGCAACTTTTCATCGACTAGAGCTACAAAAGACAATGTAAATTTTGCCGATTTTGTTTCCTTATAATTAGGAAAGTCTTTTAAAATAAAAAAATATAATGCAGCCACTTAGCTATGATGCTCAGGATTCAAAATATGTATTAAGGTATATATACTATACATTGTTTAGTATGGTCTTATATCCACAATGTACAAATGAATGTTTTTATATAGCCCATTAAAATCTTTAGTGTATATTTGTTTATTAATATATGGGTGGCATGAATTTCTAAGAAATTCTAGTGAAAGTTTTCTGAAAACGCTTTTAGGCATATTGACTGTTAATCCATGATCCGAAAGTCTTTTGAAGATGGTATGTAGATGTTGAATGTGATCATTTTCATTTTTACTGATGACCAAAACATCATCAATATAAACGAAGATAAAATTAAGACTTTTGGTTACTTCATCCATTTTTTTTTTACTTATCCTTTTATTAGTCTAAATTAGACAAGATCTTGGAAGTCGTGCTCATAAAGAAGTTCAAGAACTCTTCTTGGTTCTCTGTACAGGGATCCTTTGTCCTTTCCAATCCAATTTAGTATATGTTGGGGAGTGGCCTCTTCGGTTTTGCACCTAGTGCACATGGGGAAGTTTTTGGCTCCCTCTTTATAGACTAGAGGGCGCAGGTGACCAGATTTCCATCTGGCCAACTGTGTCGACTTCCTTCTGTTTAGTTGGAGGGTCTGTTTTTTGGGGTTTTCTATTTGGTACCAAGAATGGTGGAAACTATCTCTATGGTTCCTTATTAGTTGTAGTTTCAGTTTGTTAATATGGTCCCTTGCTGAAAGGTAGGTCTCGGAGTTCACCGCATCAGGATGTCCAGCTGCTCCTTCCTTTGCCAATCTGTCGGCCTCCTCATTTCCAGGGACTCCCACATGTGATGGAATCCATTGTAGACTTATTTTGGTATTTTGATTCAGTTTGTTGATTTCTGCAGCAATGTTTTTGAGGAGTCTGTCTTGTGAGTAGTAGCAGTTTTTAATTGCAAAGATGGCGGCTTTTGAATCTGTATAAATTATTATGTTTTTAGTCATGTTTTTCTCTACAAGTTTTAGGGCTTGTAGTATGGCTGTTAGTTCGGATATGAAATCTGACAAGTTCTTTGGATTTTTGATTCTTCTTTTTATTTCCCTACTTCCCTACTATCTTTAAGGATGAGAACTCCACTGCCAGAGGAGCCATCGGTGTATATCTGTATGGTCTCTTTGTCTGCTTTTTCAATCCTCTCCATAGCGAGGCTCTGAGTAGTCCGGGGTGGTCTACCCCTTTGGAGCATTCTTGCTCTAGATCCAGGTTGTAGGAGATTTCTGGTCTTTCTTTATATGGTGCATAATGGTTCTGGGCATTTCTATTTCTTGTGCTGTTTGGTAGTAGTTCCCGGTAGGCTAGGTGCATTGGGCTAAGTCTTTTGAGTCTGGTTTTTAGTTTCCATTTTCGTATGAATTCTCCGGTTTTGTGTGATTTTGGTGCACTTCATCCATGAATCTTTGAAATGTTTGGCTTGCATTTTTTTTTTTTTTTTAAGCCAAAGTTCGTGCGTGTGAATTCAAATAGATCAAATGGCATAGTTATTGCCATTTTGGGTATATCTTCTTGGTTAATTAGAATATGATGGTAAGCTTTTACAAGATCTATTTTGCTGAAAATGGTACAACCATGAAGGCCTTGGGTGAAATCCTGGGGAATGGGGTAACAATCAGGTTGGGTCACAGCATTTAGTCTTCTGTAGTCACCACAGTGGAGGGAAAGCTATGGGGAAAGAGATTGAAGGGAAGGAGACAACAGGGATACACAGACAATATAAAACAATGGACTGGATGACCGATGAAGTGTTGTCAAGCCCATGGAAGCAGACAGTCCCTCAGAATGATGTCTTGATAGACTTTTTTTAGTCGATTTTGACATTTCTATCAATGAAAACCAGTGGGGTCTTGCCTTCAGAAGTGACTCCGGACCATGATAGATTTCGGAAACTTGAGTCTCGTGTGCACCCAACGTTTCCTGGAAGCCTTGTATGAAAAAAGTGAAAGTTGTATAAGCTTATGATTTTGCTTTGTTTTAAAAATGAATCGATGTTGATTCCATATGCTTGAATTGAATATTACACCTTAGTTCTATATATTTTATTGCTTAAAAAGGAACACAACAAAACAAAAAAGAAACTACAATTGCAAATGATTTGATAACTAAGAAAAAAATATTAGTATTAAAAATTGGTAGTTCTATTTTAGGCAAATTAGCATAATTCTTATTAACTGCATTGTTACTTAGAGGTAAATTTGCATCATTGTGAAAATGTTGAGTAAACCGAAGAATTTTCACCTCTAGTTTACAATATTTATCGGTTACTTCCTCTATTTGTAATAAAAGCTTGTCTGTATCCTTTATCCCCATAAAATATTCATATGCTTGTTCCAACTGCTGTTTAATCTTCTCGGTCTTTTTTAATATTGCATCGAGTTCAAGACAATCGGCTGCGTTGTTTTCTATTTCCTTTTCTAAATTAAGACCTAGTCTTTTGATTCTTCTTATTTCTGTTTCTGGATCCATGAGGTTGACTTACCTTATCATGTTTCTATCCGGCTCGAGGGACCAATGTATGAAAAAGTGAAAGTTATATAAGCTTATGATTTTGCTTTGTTTTAAAAATGAATCGATGTTGGTTCCATATGATGGAATTGAATATTACACCATAGTTCTATAAGCCTTGTTTCCTGGAGGCAGATGGTGGTTTTGGGAGTTGTGGGCGACTTCAACTGTGAGAATCTTCTCATCCTTCCACACAATGTCAGGACGCCGGCCCACTCAAATCATTGAGATCAATTTCTTTGCCTTGTCCAAGCTATTCTTCATTTTAGCTTCGGAAAAGGTTTGCCCACGGTAAAGACAATAGCTGCGAAGTCCCAGATCACGTTTCAACAATATTCTGCACTCTTTCCCTAGAGATTCTGAGGACAGGAGTGATGCGATTCATGCTGATGCCGTCATTTCAGGCAATCCTTTTCTTTATGATCTTCCGTGTTGCAGAAGTGTTGACCATTCATGGACAGCCCGATTTTGGAAGCACTCCATAATGTCCTCGCTCCCGGTATTACTTTACAATCCTTCTAACAATTCTGGCGTTGATCTTGAGCCGGCAAGTGATGTCTGAAGGGCAAACACCTTCGTCGGTCAGGTGCGCAATCTTAGCGCGATGAGGTGAAGTATGGATAATTAAAAATAAAAGACGTTGGAATCTCTTTACCTTCTAGGGACACAGTTTATTAACATTAGCCTTTCGAAACACCATGAATTCACGCCGCCACGCACTTTAAATACTGTTCTTAAGTTCATAAATAAAGAGGACCATACTTTTTCAGCCACCCTGTACATTATCTGAAGGTGGTCTACAAATGTTAGGGAATTTGGTTAGAATAGCACTGAATTTGGATGATGAATTCAGGGTGCTAATATTTCCCATATCTGAGAGATTGACTGAATAATGACTCTTATAGAAAGATTAGTTATTCCATCAATTAAGCGTTTATTTTTTATATCAATTATCAATCCAAAGTTGTTCAAAAAGTCTGCTCCTATTATAGCTCTATTGGTATTGGCGATTACAAAAGGCCATTGGAATTGACGTCGGTCTGATATCCAAATTTCAAATTTTTGTTCCATAGGTAACAATTTCTGTACCATTGGCTGCATAAAGTTTATAATCAGAACTAGGCATCCTATTTTTATCCTTTGGTGGTATTATAGAGATATCAGCACCACTGTCCACCAAAAAGCGCAATCCCATGTTTTTGTCTGTCACAAATAATCGGAGATTGCGACAATCCTTAATGTTGGCGGAAGAGTTTGTCGCTACTCTTTCCACTGGTTGGAGTTTTCCCGACTCTTTCCAACTGCATGGAGGCCTGCATTTATTTTGCATGCAATTAGGGCCAAAGTGAAAATGGTAATAGCAATATTTCCCTTTTGGATTGAAGGATCTTTGAGAATTGCTTCTCGGCCTTGACTGAGTCCTAGTTTTGGATCGAGATCTTGATCTCTCCAGTCTCAATTTGGACACTTGTCGTTCAAGATCTTCCAATTTGGCGATCAAGCAATCTGTTGAGGAAGGAGACACTTCCGCATCAAATATTTCTTTGGAAGAGTTTATTTCATTTATTTGATCAGCCATTATGGCCAATTTGATAATGTCCTCATCGCTTACAATAAGTATAGTCTTAATGGATATTGGCAATTTATCGAGCCATAAAGTTTATCAAATTGTCAAAGACATCAGGGGTAGCGAGGGATCTGAGCTTTTGTAATAATTGGCTCAACTTCATGTCTTTGAGTTCAATACCAGAAATTAACTTTATTTCTGAATTCTTCACTTTCTTTGAACAATTCAAGTAGTCATGATTTACATTCAGAATACTTGTTGTCAATTTTGCTATTAATTATGTCCCAAATGTTTTCTATATATTTTGGTTCTAATTGAGAGATTAAATTTTGTTTTTCTTCCTGAATGATTCCACTTATTTTAAACTGCGCCTCTACCTGAAAGAACCATTTTTCAGGTACTCCAACCCAAAAAGGCGGTATTTTGATACCAACTTTGCATATTTCTTAGGTTTCATTGCTACGGTTCTTTTCTGTTTCCATCTTATGTAAATTTGGAAATCGATACAACAGCTAGATGTAAGTAGAGATAAAGTTAGGGATAAAAATAATACAAACAATTACAGGGTGTCCTCAAAATTTTCACGGTGATACACATCTTGGTTGATTTTGTCCCCCTAATCCATGAAAGTGAAGGGAATCATGTCATTGGCGCTAATCCCATACCATAACCTACTGTTAATTTTGACGATGACTGACATGCCAGGAGCCTCAGCAGACCAGCTCTTGTTGTTTTGATGGTCGTGCGCCTGCTCGTGGTTGATCAGTTTCTAATTCATGAAGAGGATGTGGTCCCATCACTGACCAGTGGCCGGATGCTTGAATTGCCGACATCTCTCCAGCTATATGCGCTTGTTGTCATCCGTGAAGAACTGAACCTTTTGGAGCTTGGGAAGCTTGAGGTTACGTTCCTTTTTCGCTATTCGATGTACTGAGAGGCAATTTTTTTCTGAAGGCCCTTGAATTACATTGAAGTCACTTTTTGATCTCACAGTTGACAGAAGTGTTGGCAATGCGCTTTCTTCCTCTTCCAGCACAATCGCCTTCATGGCCAAATGTGAGAGGAGCTGGTTCTATGTTACCTTAATTTAGGAGATTAGGGTGTCAGCTTTGACAGTGTTGGTGAGAGGAGATGGTTCTATGGTACCTTAATTTAGGAGATTAGGGTGTCAGCTTTGACAGTGTTGGTGAGAGGAGGTGGTTCTATGTTACCTTAATTTAGGAGATTAGGGTGTCAGCTTTGACAGTGTTGGTGAGAGGAGAGGTGGTTCTATGTTACCTTAATTTAGGAGATTAGGGTGTCAGCTTTGACAGTGTTGGTGAGAGGAGGTGGTTCTATGTTACCTTAATTTAGGAGATTAGGGTGTCAGCTTTGACAGTGTTGGTGAGAGGATGTGGTTCTATGTTACTTTAATTTAGGAGATTAGGGTGTCAGCTTTGACAGTGTTGGTGAGAGGAGGTGGTTCTAAGTTACCTTAATTTAGGAGATTAGGGTGTCAGCTTTGACAGTGTTGGTGAGAGGAGGTGGTTCTATGTTACCTTAATTTAGGAGATTAGGGTGTCAGCTTTGACAGTGTTGGTGAGAGGAGGTGGTTCTATGTTACCTTAATTTAGGAGATTAGGGTGTCAGCTTTGACAGTGTTGGTGAGAGGAGGTGGTTCTATGTTACCTTAATTTAGGAGATTAGGGTGTCAGCTTTGACAGTGTTGGTGAGAGGAGGTGGTTCTAAGTTACCTTAATTTAGGAGATTAGGGTGTCAGCTTTGACAGTGTTGGTGAGAGGAGGTGGTTCTAAGTTACCTTAATTTAGGAGATTAGGGTGTCAGCTTTGACAGTGTTGGTGAGAGGAGAGCTGGTTCTATGTTACCTTAATTTAGGAGATTAGGGTGTCAGCTTTGACAGTGTTGGTGAGAGGAGAGCTGGTTCTAAGTTACCTTAATTTAGGAGATTAGGGTGTCAGCTTTGACAGTGTTGGTGAGAGGAGAGCTGGTTGTTGTCTTAAATTTGAAAAAAAAAAAAGACAATACAAGGTCCCGATGGCTTAACCTGAACTAAAAGCTCCTAGCTTTACAGTAATGCTGGAAACTGACTTGAAAATTATAAATTGATAAATCAATATCTTTGTTGCAGTGATCAGAAGAATTGAGTCACAACGCTGGATGGCGAGGCCTAAAGTAGAAAACAGTGATGAATAATTTAATACTTATTGAAAGAAATATTTATTTAAAAAATCACACAAATTAATATTAATACAAATATTATTCAAAACAATTATTAAAATTTATGAGAGATAGTTCTTTTTTCAGGCCTGTCAAAACCAAACGTTGGCGTCGAGACAGCTTTGTTTACCGGAGGTATTCTTTTTCTGCTCGCGCATGTGCGGGGGGCAGCGGGTGCAGTGTTGCCAGTGCCTGGTTGGTCCAAAAGTACCTATGGTCGCGTCACTGGTTCTATGTTACCTTAATTTAGGAGATTAGGGTGTCAGCTTTGACAGTGTTGGTGAGAGGAGAGCTGGTTCTATGTTACCTTAATTTAGGAGATTAGGGTGTCAGCTTTGACAGTGTTGGTGAGAGGAGGTGGTTCTATGTTACCTTAATTTAGGAGATTAGGGTGTCAGCTTTGACAGAGTTGGTGAGAGGAGAGCTGGTTCTATGTTACCTTAATTTAGGAGATTAGGGTGTCAGCTTTGACAGTGTTGGTGAGAGGAGGTGGTTCTATGTTACCTTAATTTAGGAGATCAGGGTGTCAGCTTTGACAGTGTTGGTGAGAGGAGAGCTGGTTCTATGTTACCTTAATTTAGGAGATTAGGGCGTCAGCTTTGACAGTGTTGGTGAGAGGAGAGCTGGTTCTATGTTACCTTAATTTAGGAGATTAGGGTGTCAGCTTTGACAGTGTTGGTGAGAGGAGGTGGTTCTATGTTACCTTAATTTAGGAGATTAGGGTGTCAGCTTTGACAGTGTTGGTGAGAGGAGGTGGTTCTATGTTACCTTAATTTAGAGATTAGGGTGTCAGCTTTGACAGTGTTGGTGAGAGGAGGTGGTTCTATGTTACCTTAATTTAGGAGATCAGGGTGTCAGCTTTGACAGTGTTGGTGAGAGGAGAGGTGGTTCTATGTTACCTTAATTTAGGAGATTAGGGTGTCAGCTTTGACAGTGTTGGTGAGAGGAGAGGTGGTTCTGTTACCTTAATTTAGGAGATTAGGGTGTCAGCTTTGACAGTGTTGGTGAGAGGAGGTGGTTCTATGTTACCTTAATTTAGGAGATTAGGGTGTCAGCTTTGACAGTGTTGGTGAGAGGAGGTGGTTCTATGTTACCTTAATTTAGGAGATTAGGGTGTCAGCTTTGACAGTGTTGGTGAGAGGAGGTGGTTCTATGTTACCTTAATTTAGGAGATTAGGGTGTCAGCTTTGACAGTGTTGGTGAGAGGAGGTGGTTCTATGTTACCTTAATTTAGGAGATTAGGGTGTCAGCTTTGACAGTGTTGGTGAGAGGAGAGGTGGTTCTATGTTACCTTAATTTAGGAGATTAGGGTCTCAGCTTTGACAGTGTTGGTGAGAGGAGGTGGTTCTATGTTACCTTAATTTAGGAGATTAGGGTGTCAGCTTTGACAGTGTTGGTGAGAGGAGAGGTGGTTCTATGTTACCTTAATTTAGGAGATTAGGGTGTCAGCTTTGACAGTGTTGGTGAGAGGAGGTGGTTCTATGTTACCTTAATTTAGGAGATTAGGGTGTCAGCTTTGACAGTGTTGGTGAGAGGAGAGGTGGTTCTATGTTACCTTAATTTAGGAGATTAGGGCGTCAGCTTTGACAGTGTTGGTGAGAGGAGAGCTGGTTGTTGTCTTAAATTTGAAAAAAAAAAAGACAATACAAGGTCCCGATGGCTTAACCTGAACTAAAAGCTCCTAGCTTTACAGTAATGCTGGAAACTGACTTGAAAATTATAAATTGATAAATCAATATCTTTGTTGCAGTGATCAGAAGAATTGAGTCACAACGCTGGATGGCGAGGCCTAAAGTAGAAAACAGTGATGAATAATTTAATACTTATTGAAAGAAATATTTATTTAAAAATCACACAAATTAATATTAATACAAATATTATTTAAGAGGTCCACCCGGAGACCAAGGAGAGGATAGAGGAAGAGACGCTGGAGATGTCAATGGAGGAGGAGCTGGAGCCCTGGGAGCGGGTGATAGCTCCCCAAGTGTTACAGACCTTGAGGTCGAGAGCGTCGAGAAGGATGTTAATGAAAGAACCTTTAGAATTCTGTTTTTGGGAGCTCCAACGGGAGGAAACAGCATTGACATCTCCAGCGAAGAGGAGGCGGGGAGGAGGTGGGGAGCCAAAGAGGGAGATAAAGGAGTCGACGATGGGGGAAAAAGATGTCTTATGGGGGAAGTAAACAGAGCAGAGAGTAAGGTGAAAGCCGGGGATGTCAAGGATTGCAAGGGTGCGGTTGGTGGTGGAGAGTCGTGGGAGGAAGATGACGGGAAGGCTTTGATTTAGAACTACAATACAAGTGTTGCAGCGATTATTAGAGATAGGAGCATGGAGGTGGGAGGAGGAGGGGGTGGGGAATGGGGAGGGAAGGGCATTATCGCGGACCGGAAGTTCTTGAAGGAGAAGGATATCGATATGGGAGGATTGGGCGAATTGTAACAAGGAAAGGTAGTCAGAGAGGGATCGGTTACAGTTAAGCTGTAAAAATTTTAACATTTAATGCAGGTTGTGGGTATTAAGGAATGTGGTTTCAGAGGCCTTGATGACCGGGCAGGAGAGAGAGTCTGCCCGGTGTTGGCCGTTGCCGTTGCAGCGGAAACATTTAGGGGGGAGGGTGGTGGCGGTGCAATTGTTTGTAATGTGGCCTTCGCCGCAATGGAGGCATCTGGGGGGTTTATTGCAAATTTCATTGCAGTGACGGATGTCCCCGCAATTACGGCAGGGGTGTGTTGACCTGGTTCTGTCGAACCTGATTGAGTTATATCCCAGAAAGAGACGGGTTCGAGATTGCAGTTGGGTGGCAGTGTCGGAGTCGGTTTCGATGACCGCGTGTGTGGAGTTGTTGCGGCCGGTAAAAGTTCTAATTTTTTTTTAACAAGGAATATAATATTTTATTTACAAATTTACCAGTTACAACAGTGTAGACAAAGTGTAGACAGTGTAGTACTGAAAGAGAAACTTGTATATATATATAAAAAAGGAGGGCAGAGTGGTAACAAGGAATATAATATTTTATTTACAAATTTACCAGTTACAACAGTGTAGACAAAGTGTAGACAGTGTAGTACTGAAAGAGAAACTTGTATATATATATAAAAAAGGAGGGCAGAGTGGTAACAAGGAATATAATATTTTATTTACAAATTTACCAGTTACAACAGTGTAGACAAAGTGTAGACAGTGTAGTACTGAAAGAGAAACTTGTATATATATATAAAAAAGGAGGGCAGAGTGGTAACAAGGAATATAATATTTTATTTACAAATTTACCAGTTACAACAGTGTAGACAAAGTGTAGACAGTGTAGTACTGAAAGAGAAACTTGTATATATATATAAAAAAGGAGGGCAGAGTGGTAACAAGGAATATAATATTTTATTTACAAATTTACCAGTTACAACAGTGTAGACAAAGTGTAGACAGTGTAGTACTGAAAGAGAAACTTGTAGAGAAAGTAAGATTGTCCCACTGCTCACATACTAGATGGTTTCTTTAACCTAACAGGTGAACTAACAAAAAAAAAAAATTAAATCAACATTTTCAAAATTTTTTTTTTTTTTTTTTTTGTCAGTTTTTGCAGTCAGTGCCGATTGATTGGGTGATAAGGGAGGGCAGGTCGCAGAGTGGGATAGTGTTGGGGAGGTTGAAGAGGGTAAAGCGGGGTTTAAAGGTGGGGGGGGGGGGGGGGGGGGGTTGACGCTGATGTTTGTGCCATTGGTGGCATTTTTGAGCTTGGCGTAGATAGAGTCCATGCTATTTTTGGAGTTAGTGTGGATGATGATCTTATTACGGGCGCGGAAGATGTTAGTAATTTGGGTGGAGGGAGTATTGAGGGAGGAGAAGGAAATTTTTAAGTTGAGGTTGTTGTCAATGGGGGTGCAAGCAGAGGGGTCCTGGGTGATGAGGATGTGGAAGGGGTTGTTGCGGTTGGAATGGGGAGGGGGGCGGCGGGAGGGTTGGGGGTTGAGTGTCGTGGGGGGGGTTGGTGGGGTGGGGGGTTAGCGGGAGGCGGTCGGGAGGCGACCCCGGCGAAAGAGTTAGGAATGGGCATGAGTGGAGTGGAATGGGGTGAGGAGTTGGGTAGAGGGGTGGGGGGGGGGAGGAAGATGGGGAGGTGGGTGAAAGCTGGGGGGGGGGAGGAACGTTTGGGGAGGGGTGAGGAGGGGGGGTGGAGGAGGCAGGGGGAGGCATAGGTGGGCAGGGAGAGGGTGTTTGTAATTTCTGTTCCAGGAGATGGGTAAGGAGGTTTATGGAGTTGTTGGCCTCGAGGAGGCGTTGTTGATGAATATCCAAGATGTGTGTAAAGGTTTTTTTTAGGGCAAAGCGGAAGTTATCGGCAAGGGTGGGGTCAACAGAGTCAGCAAAAGGAGCAAGGATGTGGTAGGCCCAGTTAAGATGTTGGAGGTGTGAGGGGTTGTTGGTTGGAAACATGTCGCATGTGGGTGGAGGTGATTCAAGGGTGTAGTGTTGTTGTGGTGGTTGGTGGAGATGGGGTGGTGTGTGTACATATGTGGGTTGGGTAGGGTGAAGAGGGGTGGAGGATCTCACCCCTGGTCGGCTGCAGAGGTCAAGGTTCCCGCCGATGGTAGGGTCGAGCAGGGAGTTGAACATGCTCGGGTGGTCGTCTTGGCGGGAGGAGTCGGTGTCAGGAAAGGAGGTGGAGAAGTCTTGGGAGGGGGGCGGAGAGCCACCTTTAGCTGAAGAGGTGTCGGAGGTGGGGGGGGCGGAGTGCCCCCTGGAGCTGAAGAGGTGTCAGAGGGCGCAGGCCGGAGCGGCGGCGGGAGGGTGCGCGGCAGCGGGCGGGCGAGCCGCCGGGTGTGTGGCGGCGGGCGGCATGGCCGCCACTCGCAGGGGAGGGCGGTGGAGCCAGCGCGGCGGAGGTTGGAAGCACTCCAGGCAGTGGAGGGAGGTCGAGTGGCCAAGAGGTCTAGTGCACTGATTGGACGCCCGCAGGAAATTAATCAGGGCGACAGACGGTGGCAGGCGGCCGCCCGGGAGGACCGAGGAATTAAAAACGAACAAACGTTCGGCAACTGAATTTGGCCAATTAATCCAGGGGGCAGGACAGGGTGGAGATGGTCCCACGGCAGGGGAACCCGCGGGGAGAAGAAGGCAGCGGACCCCGTGAAGGGGCGGAGGCAGGAGCGCAGAAGGAGGAACCGCGCGGTCGGAGTCCGCGGCAACTATCGCCGATATAAGAATGTTTAACAATCGAGTCTGCAGTGTTGCCGGATCAACTTGTCAGTTCAATCATAACATGCTTTCTTTAAACAAAAATAAAAAAGGATTGCAGTTCTCCTAGTCTCTATAACGCAAAGGTTTTCTCACTGTTCTACCACTGCGGGTTCGCACACTAGGAGAAGTAGATGATTCTTCACCTTTCTTGGCAATGTCCTCCCTTGGATTACATGCTCTTCTGTTTTCGGAAGTGGGTCTTTCATGATCTTGTATGTTGTCATCCATGTAGGAAGCAGTTCCCTGGAGACCTGAAAGAATATTGTTTATGCATCGCTAGAATACCTCCGATGCACTGTTCAATCCATAGGGAAGTCGCTTGAACCGGAATCTTCCAAAGGGAGTCGCAATGGTGCACAGGTTGGTGCTTTCTTGTCTAATGGGACTTGCCAGAAAGCTGATGATGCATCAAATACAGAGAAAACTGTAGCACCTTTCAGTTCAGAAAATATTGTTTCAGCTGTTGGCAGAATATAGCGCTCTCTCTGAACATACTTGTTCAGTTCCCTGGGGTCCATGCAAATTCTGACATCTCCAGAAGGTTTTTGTACCACTACAATAGGGTGTGTCCATTCGCTTGGTTCTTCAACTTTTTCAATAATGTCAAGTTTTTCCATCCGTTCCAATTCTGCTTTAACTTTTTCTCTAATGGAAAAAGGAATTTTTCTGCTTGAATTTTTCAAAATAAGGTTTTACAAATATAAAAAGGAATTTTAGATATATACAAGGCTATTTACAAAGCTAACACCTGTGTTTCAAAGCACAGACTGGATGCAAGCCTCTCTTGCACTTTGAACTTTGGTTCTAGACCTCCGCTTCAGGCCTTCTTTTGTACACTCCACACATCTACTCTCTATCTCTTTCTGGAAGTTTTTCGAGTACTTCCTGGCTTGTTGAAGGCAGAACTGGAGGTTTCAACTGATTTTTAACTAATTCATTTATTACTGAATAGTTAAAAGCCCTTCTAGAAAGCTTGGGGTTGTCTTTGGTATGCTGTTCATATAGGATGAAAGAGTTTAGGAGAGCCCTGTGGAAGATGTTGAGGATCACTTTTCTATAAAATTTTCTTCCTTTTCTTTCATCCATATATGTATACAAAATTTGATCATTGAGATCTACCCCTCCCATGTAGCTATCATAGCAGATTTTCATCTGTGGGTAGTCTCTTTGGTCTGACGCCTTCTTTTTGCCAGAAGAAGCATCACAAAATGTTGAGAGAAACTTCACTGGAGGTTTGCTCTTCTTTTCTTTGTAAGGTTTGTTAAGGTTTTAGGAAGTCCCTTCCTATTAGTTCTTATAGTACCAGTCAAATAAGTATGACTGTCCAGTAAGTCCTTGGCTAGGTTGATGCTGGTGAAAAAGTTATCAGTTATCAAATGATAACCTTTTCCAAGTAGACTGGATTCCTGGAGCAGATTCATTGGAACATCATAGGAAAGGGACTTGATAATTGGAGATAATTTCCCTTTATATGGCTTCATTCTCAGGCAATAGCCAGTTTTAGATTCACAAAGCATCCACAGTTTGACTCCAAATCGACCATGGTGCTTTTGGGGCATATATTGTCTAAGATGAGTTCGGTTTTTTAGGCACACCAAGCTCTCATCAACTGTAAGATTTTGAGTAGGCTTATAATAATTTATAAACTTGTTGTTCACATGCTCTATGAGCTTCTCAAATCTTGCAGTTGGGTTGTAATCAGGATGAGAACTTGGAACCAGGTTGGAGTCATCAATCAGAGAAAAGCAGCTGTAGAGCAACTCTCCCTCTAGACATAACTTTACCAAACCAGGGCGTCTCTAAAAGTTCATTCTTGCTCCAATAGTCCCTGATTTGGTTCTTCTTCACATTGCCCATATTGAAGATGACTCCAATAAAGGCCATCATCTCATCCAAGGTAGTGTCCTTCCAGGCCAGCTTCCTAGAAAATGGAGGCAATTTGTCCCTATTGCTTGCCAATAAAGTTTGGGCACATTTATTGGTAAAAGCCACAATTTTCTTCATCAAATTCATTGTAATGAATAACAAAAAGTATTCAATAGGCTGGATAATAGAGGGGGGAAGGTGCTGTGGGCCCCAAACTTCTCCAAAAGTCAATGTTTTGGATGTGGAAAATGGAGTATAAACTCTTACCCAAGGACTTGGCTGGTTTTCATCCACTTCTTCATTAGAAAATTCATCTTCAAAAGTGTCTTCATCACTTTTTCAAACTCAGAAGACAAAGAATAAACTTCAGTGTCCTCAGAAAATGCATAGCATTCTGAACCGGAAGCCATTTTAAAAAAATTAAAAATAAAAAAAGAAAATCGCAAGACAAAGGAGATAAAAACACAGCTAACGTGTAGAGACAAGCCTAGAAGTGAGAAGGGAGGTGATAAAAATAGCCAGCCACCACCCCCTCCCCCACGAGGGGCCCTACAAGGAAGTAGCGATAGAAAGGTACCCCGGCACTCCTGGTGACGTTATAGGGTAACGATGGATCGTTACCTTGGCGCTTAAAGGGTTAAGGACTTTTTCTAAAACATCTCCCCACCATACATGATGCTCTGCATCTTTCTCAGAACTGGCTGGGCATAGTATAGGCCGTGAAGGATCCGTTTTGGAAGGAGGAACAATGAGCAAGACAGACAGTTCTGGTGGGACTAGGAGGGCAGGGATGGAGAGGATGTGTCCACATGGTTGGAGTCAGTGGTGCCGTTAGCTAACCTCTGAAGATGCAGGAGGGTACTAGGGGCCCACACTTTGAGGAAAGGGTTCAGCTTGGAGAAGAAATAGGCGTACAGATCAGGGATGACCCCTGGGCTAGAGGCATGGAGGAATCAGCATCATCCCCTTTGAGCAAAGGGAAGCCCAGATTTTGGGGGGGAGGTCAGGCTGGTCTGTGTGTACTGTGGAGAGGATGGCAACGGGGTCATTCTAGAGATTGGAGTCCAGGATGACAGCTTGGGCAGGAAATGACGGGAGATAGGTGGCTGAGCAAGGAAGTCTGGAAGGGGTGGGAATGGTTTTGGGGGGCCCAGGAGGAGAGCGTGAGGGCCCATGGTAATCTGGTGGGGAACCCCCTTAGTGGTAGGTGTTGGAGCTGGGGTCTGGGAGAAAGATTCCTCGAAGATTGTGGTTGGACTGAAGTTTGCCTGGACAGACTTAGTCTTGATTCAATAAATTAATCACTTGTGTCTAATTAGCCATTTTTAAGCCCAAATAAAGCTAAATATTTTGGAAATACAGTAGAACCTCCATGAGAGGACACCTCTCTCCACAAAGGACAGTTTCAAATTTTCACAATTTTACTAATTAGCAACTCTCCAGTAAGAGGACACCTCTTCCTAAAGGCCATGTTCTTCTGCATTTAGGTGTCCTTTACAGAGAGGTTCTACTGTATAATCTTGAAAGAAATTCACCCCTGAAGGACTCAATTTTAATCATTTAATTCAAATACAATAGTGGTATAAAGTAAATAATACAATCCATGCGAAAAGTACAAATTATTTACAGTTTCAAAATTAACATGAATGAATTGGTTATAGCTTTATGATATAAAGATAGGGAAAAAAAAATTGTGTGTGAAAAAAAGTCTTGCTGCATTTACATTGGAGAACTTACTGCTTTCAACTGCCGAGCCAGCCAATTGATATTCTGCAAAGCTCAAGTACGCATTGAACCCCTTCATGCAAACCCAGTGCTAGCTGTCTTTCCTTAGACATTCTCTTAATCTCAACTTCATTCAACTCTCTTTTTCTGTTATATTATACAGGAGAACCTTGCTAAAAACAAATCGGGGATATAGTGAACCTTCCTTTATAACAAACTCAAAATAATTTCCATTTTTTTATTTTATAATACAGTGAATTATGGCTATAGTAAACCAAAGGTACAGTCCCATTTGGGTTTGCTATAAAGGGATTTTGCTGTATATAATAAAAGTTTCTAGTAAACCTTTTTTCAAACTGGATGTTTTTCAAAAGTCAATGTATGATGTTTCAAAGGATCATTGATTTTATTCTTAAAATATTAGCCTACAATTTTTGACTCGAACATCAAATGTTTGTGGTTGCCCTGAAGCTAACTGATAATTTTAAGTTGACTTCATGATTGAAAACCCAAGGTAATAAGACCAAATCCAAATAAATAAATAGTGTGTGACGTTTCGGTAACAGCGAATTAAAAAAAAAAAACTATTTATTTATTTGGATTTGGTCTTATTACCTTGGGTTTATAATCTATAATCCAAATTGTGCCTTATCAATTTCATGATTGAAAGTATTTTTTATTTATAAGTTGTGTGATTATTCAAATTTTGTTTTCTCTCTCTCACTTTTGAATTTTTTCAATGCAATCTACCAGAAGAATAAATTTTCTTTTTAAATTTTCACACATAGAACTAACTGTCCATTTCTTTTCATTAAAAAATTTTAACCAGATAAATTTTATTACTGTTTTTAAATCAAGTTTAAATAATACTATATAATGCCCTTTAACTAAAGTGAATGATGATATTTATTTTCTTTTCAATTTCCTTTCTAAATAAATTGTCAACTTTTAATTTGTGTATATTCATTTTAAACTTTTTTTTTTCACACTATTTTTGTATATAATTTTATTGTCCAATTGTTATGCATAATATTTGGCTTTTTAATTTTTTTTAAATCTATATAGCGTGTATATATAAATGTAATCATTTGATTCTGTATATATGGTTGATGATTGTTAAAGATTTTTGAATAAAATTTTATATATTTAGCTTGTATTTATCTTGTTATCAACCAATATAATATGAAAATTGTGATAAATACCCAATAATGACACAGGAAAAAGTATGATAAGGTAAAATGTGGATTATTGATTTGAAATATAAGGTAATAAGACACCAAATCTCTAAATTAATGAAATATTTGTGATGTTTCAGTAATAGCATTCATTAATTTGGATTTGATATTGTTACCTTATCTTAAAGGAGAAGAAGTAAACTGTATTTGTGTGTGTGTGGTTCCATGATTAGGTCAGAACCACTAAGAACCTCTCCTCCCACTGGGTTTAACCCTTAGAATGAGTCTAAACAGTAGGTATATAGCTACCAATTCCTACTGGGTTTAATTCCTTAAATTACCTAAACAATGGGTAACTAAAGAAACCATTCTTAAACTGTATTGAACCTCTGAAGTGACCTTAACAATGTGTAGCTAAGGAAACAGTACTCCCACAGTGTTCAATCCCTGAAATTACCTAAACAATGGGTAGCTAAGGAAACAGTACTCCCACTGTGCTGAACCCCTGGAGTGATCTTTTTTTTTTTTTTGCTTATCCCTAGTACACGTGGTACAGGCCATGATAATCATGGTGGGTAGTTAGCAACTGCTTTTACTGTAAGCGCACCACATGTCTACACATGTGAAAAGCAGTTCGACTTTGCACTTACAAATGTGCTAGAGCCCCATTTGATTACTTGCACTCACTGGTGGGGTTGGACTTTTGCAAGAATCGGGGGCCATTGGAGCATTTTTTTTTTTTCAACTAAAAAGTGTCCAATGCGGGATTCGAACCCGGGACGTAGTGGTCGAAAACCAAACGGTTTAACCAGCCTTCCACCGACCCCCGGAGTGATCTTAGCAATGGGTAGCTAAAGAAACAGTACTCCCACTGTGTTCAACCCCTGGAGTGATCTTAACAATGGGTAGCTAAAGAAATGGTACTCCCACTGTGTTCAACCCCTGGAGTGGTCTTAACAATGGGTAGCTAAGGAAACAGTACTCCCACTGTGTTGAATCCCTGGAGTGATCTTAACAATGGGTAGCTAAGGAAACAGTACTCCCACTGTGAGGAACCCCTGGAGTGGTCTTAACAATGGGTAGCTAAGGAAGCAGTAATCCCACTGTGAGGAACCCCTGGAGTGACTTAAATTGTGGTAAACTATGAATCCCCTAAATGACCTTGATAAGGATCAATTATTTTATTTTTTTGCTTATCCCTAGTACACGTGGTACAGGCCATGATAATCATGGTGGGTAGTTAGCGACTGCTTTTTACTGTAAGCGCACCACATGCCTACACATGTGAAAGCAGTTCGACTTTGCGCTTACAAATGCGCCAGAGCCCCGTTTGGTTACTTGCACTCGCTGGTGGGGTTGGACTTTTGCAAGAATCGGGGGGGGGGGGGGGGGGGGGGGGGGGGGCCATTGGAGCATTTTTTTTTTTTTAAACATAAAAAGTGTCCAATGCGGGAATCGAACCCGGGTCGTAGTGGTCGAAACCAAACGGTTTAACCAGCCTTCCACCGACCCCCGATCAATTATGAGTCACTTGAATGATTTCAAAAAGACCTAAATACCATCACTTCCATTGTATTAATTTTCCTGGAATAAAACTAAAGTAATTCTTGACTAAAAACCAGCACTTTCATCTCTATGTGGGTCAATAGTTACTCATCAAACCTCAATAAACTTTTGTAATTTTGTATATACTGTCACTGTAGTTTACCCATTCAACTTCTATCTCCATTTGGTTAAAAGGAACTACTTTCCTTAAAGGCTTTGGCCATTAAATGTGTCAGAAAATTATAGGGCCTTTATATTATTCAACAAATATTTATCAATAACTATAATACAATGTATAATATTTAAACTAAGATTTCTTAGGTTTAGCGATTTTAATAAAAGTTACAATTACATAAAAGACTTACCATTATTGAGCACTCACTTTTATAATTCCTCATTTCCTTAATTTAGTAATTAATAATAAATTATAAAATTTTTCGAAATGACCTCACAGACCAAGACTGCTGCACTTCCTAACTTACTTATTTCTCACAAAAATTCTGGTCTGTAATAAAATAAACTAGCTTTATCTACTACTTTATTGTTTCTTTTCTTGGTATCAAAATTTTATTTCTTAATATTGAAGATGAAAGAAAATATATTTTTTTTATTTCTTTAAATTATAGAATTGCAATTGAGAAGATTCATCTCTTAAATTATAGTAAAAACTAGCAACGAATATATATTTTAAAAATATAATTTTGGATTATTAATTAAAAGAGAGAGATTCGTAACCTACGTTTTCCTGGAGCACTTGACTCTCTATGAAAGTGTCTTACTGCAATTAAAAACTGAATTTTTGATCACCAAATTATAGGTAAATAAAATTATACTATAATTTTTATATTTATTAATATATAAAAAGGTTAATTATATATATCTTTTAATGGAACGCATTTTACGTAGAACGAATTTATACCAAATTTGAAATCATTTTGTAAAAATCAATTGGTCACAGTGCCCCGGTTTTTTAACTTTAGACATTTTGACAGATGTTAAATTCTGTCCGTTCAGATCTGCTTCAGATTTCTCTATTTTATAGATATTTCAAATAATGTAATCTCTATTGATAATATATATTTCAAAAAGGCCATTGTTTTTATCAAAACAAATAACCTTTTTTAAAAACTAGTTCAAATGAAAAATAACTTCGTTTTGACAACTTTGTTTTGGATATCTAATTCAGAGAGAATATTAATGTAAAAATGCATCACATTAATACTTTAATTATTTTGGCAGTCAAAACTATTTATTAGCAAGTTATTATGAAATTATTAATCTATTTTCTAAGTTCAATAATGGTTTTTATATTTTAGCCAAAAATCAACCGCGGAGTTTGTCCTGGTCTCCGCCAGAAACCACAATTATCAAAGTGATAAAAATGAAAAACAATATTAAAATATATTAAATTATTTAATCAAAAATTTATTTCATGAATTCACTCCTCACTGTATAAAGGTAGGTTGCTTTATCCTCCATCTTCCTCTTTAATCGATCGTATAGCTCCATCACTCTAAAAGTTGTCAGCCATCGCGATTCGCCATTTTGTATATTCCCGCATATGCATACTTACATAAAAGCATACTTTTACACATATATAGAACAAATAATTTCTACATTAAGAGAGAACAATTTTAACTTGAATAATTCACAATTTTACGCTGTTTTCAACCTCTTAAGAGACGATATTTTTGACAGTTCTAAATAAATCATGGTCTTTGTCAAATTTTAAAATATAGTTCGTTGAATTGTAATTTATGTAATTAATTTTTAATTTATCACTTGTAATTGGCACATATTTTCTTATCATGAACGCTTAAAAATAGATACAGTTAAACCTGTCTA